ATATATATGTATACATACAACGGAATATTACTCAGCCATAAAAGAGAATGAAATCTTGCCACGTGCAACGATGTGGATGGATTTAGAGTATAATGCTAAGTGAAATAAGTCAGAGAAAGACAAGTGCCATATGACCTCACTCGCAGGGAATTTAAGAAATATATTTTACTTGTGTAAACAAAATGAAAACATTGATCTTTTCTCCTTCCACGATTCCTCAAAAAAACTCTGAAACTATTATTGAACATTCTTATTTTCATGGCAATGTAACTATTTGCATAGGCTCAGCAAGAAGCTGTCCTCTTTGTGATAGGACATAATTTAAAACATTTATTATATAACCAAGGCTTTGACTGGAACGTCACATTTGAAAATGATGTATAAAATCAGACAGAACAGACAATTGTAAGGAAGTAAGGTTGACTTTACGGGGCCAAAGCTTACTAAGCCCTTTTGGAAAAAACCGGGTTGACACCTGGCTTATAGGGTTCTCAGCATTATAGGTGAATAAAGAAGGTCACTTCCCTGCAGGCCCAGGAAATTTAGAATGTTTTGGGGGAACCTCAAGAATAGAGGAATTCACCCAAATCTGTAGGTATTACAGGCGACATCTGATGGCAAATTTTTGTTTGACTTCCTAGCATTGAGATGCCTTTTTTTTTTTTTTTTTTTGACAGAGGGAGAGAGATCACAAGTTGGCACAGAGGCAGGCAAAGAGAGAGGGGAAAGCAGGCTCCCCGAAGAGAGCCCAGTTCGGGGCTTGATCCCAGGACCCTGAGACCATGACCTGAGCCGAAGGCAGAGGCATAACCCACTAAGCCACCCAGGTGCCCCTTGTTTTTTTTTTTTTTTTCTTTTTTTTTTTAAAGTGGGCTCCCATGCCCAGTGCAAGGCTTGAACTCGTGACCGTGAGATTAAGACCTGAGCTGAAATCAAGAGTGAGATGCTTAACTGACTGAACCACTCAGGCGCCCCTCATTGAGGGGCTTTTAAAGTTCAATCTGAGATTCCTTATAAAAACTTCCATAAAGAAAACTTAAGGGTGCCTGGGTGGCACAGTCGTTGGGCGGCTGCTTTCGGCTCAGGTCATGATCCCAGTGTCCTGTAATCGAGGCCCACATTGGGCTCTCTGTTCGGTGGGAAGCCTGCTTCTCCCTCTCCCACTCCCCCTGCTTGTGTTCCCTCTCTGTCAAATAAGTAAGTAAAATCTTAAAAAAAAAAAAAAAAAAAGAAAACTTAAAAAGGTCTGTATTGTTGATTACTATTCTTGTTGCATTCATGTAAATAATTAGGCCAACTTTAATGCAACTAAAGGTATTTTTGTTCACAAAACTATTCTTACCTTGATTACCTTTGATAGAAATTTTATGACAGTGGAAAAGTATACCCAGAATCTAGTCTTGAGGTTTTATTTTTTTTTTAATTTTTTTTTTTAAAGATTTTATTTATTTATTTGACAGAGAGATCACAAGCAGGCAGAGAGGCAGGCAGAGAGAGAGGAGGAAGCAGGCTCCCCTAGAGAGCAGAGAGCCCGATGCAGGGCTCGATCCCAGGACTCTGAGATCATGACCTGAGCCGAAGGCAGCGGCCTAACCCACTGAGCCACCCAGGCGCCCCTAGTCTTGAGGTTTTATTATCTTCCTATAAACCAAGCTGGATCCTGCCATCTTAGACATTTTGTCAGCCTTCAGCAAATTCTTACTTCTCCTAGTTTCCTTCAGCATCTGGCTACAACTATCCAAGTGCTGTTTCCCATTTTCCTCCTCTCCTGAGAAACAATGGTATGATCACTGAGATCTAAAACCTAATCCTTTTTGGGACTCAGGTTCTCTTGTGGTCGCCCTTTCCTCTGGGATCTGAAAACACCTTGTAAGCTAAGCCCAGACAATTTGATATAAGCATCAAAGAACTCATCACTACAAATCACGTGCTGGCAACCTTTGTGCCTGGACTTGCTGCCACTTGGGCTACCCTAAAAGCCACCAGAACACCTGTGTCTTCCATGCTCTGCTCTCAGAAATAGCCATGGCTGTGACACTGACGTCTATGCCATCATTACCAACATTCAGACTATAAAACAAGAAATCTATCAGATTGCCACTGCTGTCCTCACACCACCATGTAAAGATGCTTAAGGGGTCAGCGTCTTCTCAAGTGACTGCCCAGCCTCTGGACTCAGAAACTGGGTTTATAGTCTGTTCCCACTATTAGCCTTTGTTTTCTTTTTGTTTCCATAGAGATGCTCCTCATTAAATGCCTGATTGCTCACGTCATCCACCAAATATCCTCTTCTACCAAGTCTCAACAGATGGTTCAGCTCGTCCTTAATAAACAAAGGGCAATCAAATGAGAAATGGACTTACATTGTTCGGAGGAAAGAAAAATGTCTCTTCTTCCTGTCTCTTACTGTTTGTTGCAGCTAACATCAGAAGGTAGGACTCCTGTCTCCCAGTGTCTGAGGGAGGGTAGAAGCCTAACTTCGATAAGCCCCAGTTAGCAAACCCAGATCAGTACATGGACCAAACCCCACCACCTTCCCTTTTTTATAATTTTCCAATTCCCAGACTCTACCGAGATCATGCTCATCCCCCTCCCTACTCCTTCATTCTCCCTTTATTTTTTTAAGATTTTATTTATTTATTTGAGAGAGAGAGGGTGGGGGGAGAAAGAGAACATGAGCGGGGGGGGAGGGGCAGAGGAAGAGGGAGAAGCAGACTCCCTGATTCGGGGCTCAATCACAGAATCCTGGGATCACAACCTGACCTGAAGGCAGACACTTAACCAACTGAGCCATGCAGGTGCCCTTCATTCTCTCTTTAAAACACCCAGTAACCTCTGTATAAATCGGGAATTCAGTTCACACCAGACTCTTCCCTACTGCAATAGTTGTTACTGATTGAAATGTATCCTTACCACTCTAAGTAGTATCTGGCTTTACCATTACAGCCTACAAGCATCTCTTCGAGTCCCTGCTGTTAATTCTTCAGGTATATTCTCAGAAGTGGAATTGTTAGCTCTTACAGTGATCCTGTTTTTAATTCCTTGAGGAAATACCATAGTGTTTTCCATAGTGGAAAACATTCCCGCCAATAGTGCACAAGAGTTTCAGCTTCTCCAGACCCACAGCAATACTTGTTATTTTCTGGGTTTTCTACTACTAGCCATCCTAGTTGGTGTATGTTGTTGTAATTTTGATTTTCATTGGCCTAACGATTAGTGATGTTGCATATCTTTCCATGTGCTTATTGACCATTTGTATATCTTCACTGCATGTTCTATTTCTTTTTTTTTTTAAATTTTTTAAATTTATTTACTTGACAGAGATCACGAGTAGGCAGAGAGGCAGGCAGAGAGAGAGGAGGAAGCAGGCTCCCCGCCGAGCAGACAGCCCGATTGTGGGGCTCGATCCCAGGACCCTAGGATCATGACCTGAGCCAAAGGCAGAGGCTTTAAAGCACTGAGCCACCCAGGCGCCCCTGCATGTTCTATTTCTTAAGCTGGGTGGTGGCGACAAGGTTATTTCTTCTGTTTTTATTACTTAAGTTCTACTTAAATATTATTTATTCTTCTTAAAATCTACAAAAAAAAAAATCTACAAAAGTGCAGTAGGAGATGGGGGTGAATCCTGGTGGAACACGGAGTAGCCAGTGGCTTGGGTTCATGGATTTCAGGCAGCCATATCAGGCTGTTAATCTGTATTTCCCTGACATCTTTTTAGAGGCCCTCCCTCTGCCTGTGTGTCAGAACAGACTTCTACAGCCCTTGCAAGCTGGACAGCACACTGTGTAAGCCTGTCCCCTCAGCACTAGCTGACTAGACTCGAGTGGACATCTGGCTCGAGCTGTGCCAACCACATCCCCCCTCATGGGAATCTAGAGTTGGGTCCAGGGAACTCTAGTCAGATGGTCAAAGTCCTTGTACTTATTAGGTAATGGACCTAGGCGAACCAAGAAGTCACCCAGTGCGGAAGGCCACTTTGGAGCACTGTGCACTAATGAGGAAGTGGATGGAACTGGTTTATAGTGAGAAGAGGATAGAATGAAACTGAGAGGCATCGAGTCCCGGTCCACAGCTTGGTTCCAGACTGCTTTCTGGCTCCCAGGCTTTGCCTAGAAGAGCTCTTATCCCACTGTATACTATAATCCTCACAGGGACTTTTTCTTTGGATTTGGGGAGCTAGTCCTAATTCCTTTTAATAACCTCCTTTTTTTTTTTTTTTTAGATTTTATTTATTTGTCAGAGAGAGAGGGAGAGAGAGCGAGCACAGGCAGAGGCAGAGGGAGAAGCAGGCTCCCCGCCGAGCAAGGAGCCTGATGCGGAACTCGATCCCAGGACGCCGGGATCATGACCTGAGCCGAAGGCAGATGCTTAACCAACTGAGCCACCCAGGCGTCCCTAATAACCTCCTTTTTATCTGGGCTAGCCTGAGTGGCCTTCTGCTTCCTGCAGGCAAATGATCCTTCAGCCGAAGGGCCCATTATTCCTGTATTTGAGGGGTGGCACAAGTTTAGGATGGAGAAAAAGACTGTTCTTACTTCCAAATAGCCAGAAATAGACTGAATCTCTTCCAGCTGAAAGCCAGGAGCAATGGGGACCAGGAAGTTTGGGCACAGCTCTGCCATGGGCTTCTCCTTCTGGGCTTTGCAGAGGAAAGGGCATGCAGGCTTTGCCAGATGTCAACTGTGCAGCCTTGCCCTCAGGATCTGCCTGTGTTGGCTTCAGCCTACATCCCGTACCTTAACTTCTCCTACTTGCTAACAGGAGACAGAAGCACTTTCATCTACTCTTTCACTGGCATATCATGGTTTTCGGCACAACTTATTTCTCCAGCAAGGCTGTGAATCCTTGAAGGGAGAGATGTCCACTTGCCTATATTTTATAGCTCCCTACGTACTTATTATAGGATGAGTATATAATAGTTACTTATTCAATCTATGGTTACATCTCAGTGCTTATAGTTTCTTTCCATATTTAAGAAAGTCAAGAAATGAAGAAAGTACCTTGTTCAAAAGCTCTGCTCACATTGTCAGTCAGTTCTTTCTGTTTAGCTGAAAGAGAAAATAACTATCTTAATTTTTCTATTTATACAGACTTGAGATGTGAAGATAACCTTTTTTTTTTTTAAGATTTTATTTATTTATTTGTCAGAGAGAGAGCACAAGCAGACAAAGAGGCAGGCAGAGGCAGAGAGAGAAGCAGGCTCCCTGCTGGACAAGGAGCCCGATGCAGGACTCGATCCCAGGACCCCAGGTTCATGACCTGAGCCGAAGGCAGCGGCTTAACCAACTGAGCCACCCAGGCGTCCCTTGAAGATAACACTTTATAGTTGGTTTCAGCACAACACAACAGCGAGCTTAGATTCCAGGTGAGGAGACCTCATAAGCCCTGTGTCCACATGTCCCAAGACGGCAGCTGTGTTTTAATTTATTTGTTTTTATTTGAGAGAGAGAGAGAGAGAGAAAGAGAGAGAGAGAATGCACGCATGTGCCCAGGGGAGGAGCAGAGGGAGAGAGAGGGAATCTCAAGCAGACTCCCTACTGAGTGCAAAGCCTGACTCCAGGCTCAATCCCCCAACCCGGAGATCATGACCTGAGCTGAAACCAAGAGTCACGCACTCAACAGACTGAGCCACCCAGGCTCCCCAGCAGCTTCTGTTTAGGGCAATGTTGTTTTCCTACCTCTGTAATGTCTGAGGAGCAATCACTAAGGCTTGTAAAATGGCTATACAATCATTAAAAAAAAAAAAGGATAAGGAAATGCTTTGATTATCTCCACCAAGCAGTATGAATTTTTTAGCTTATAGGTAGAAAATTAGCAAGCTGGGATTGCCTGTGGGCAGGGCATCACAGTGTTTCAAATAACCACTTGCAAATTATACAGCCTCCCAGGAAAATGAAACATTTAGATCCTATTGTACCATAAGAGAGAAGATGCCAGATAACGTAAAGGAGCAGCTACCTCATGTTTCTGCTGTATCTTCATTAGGAAATGAAGAATTTTACTGTAAGTGTGTTTTCCAGATATAAAAAGTATCCATCACTTCTAGGTCGCTTGCTTTCAAAGCACTTTCAAATACATTAAAACTCCATTGTAGGCGGAGGTGTTGGGAGATGTTGGGAGACGGCCCTGGTCATATGGTTGGTTGAGTGGAGCTGCTGGGAGCAGACCTTATCTATAGACTCCTAGACAGTGGTGGGAAACTAGCAACATGGTGTTGACAAAAGAACACTGGATGAGGAGTCTAGAGGCTCAGTTCTGCCCAGATCTAACCAGCTCTATGCCCTTGAATATTTGCTTACTTTAGGTCTTAGCACATGCCTGTATGGGAAGAAACTAAGGAATTAATCTAAATGAAGGTCAGTGACCTGTTCAAAATCAGACATTCACTATAGGGCCAGAATAACCCTCACCAGTGACTGAGCACCTGCTATGGGTCAGGCACTGTGTTATGTGTTTTACATGTTTTATTTGATTTAACTTAATCCTTGCAACAACCAGTACTAATGTTATCTCCATTTTACTGATGAGGAAACTGAGGCTCAGAGGGGTGAAGTCGCTTGCTCAAGGTCACATGCAAAGTCAATGGCAGTGTTCACACTGCACTCAAGACCACCTCACAGCAGATCATGTTCCTCTGTCTTCCAAAGCTGTGCAGAGGATTTTTGACTGTGAACCTTGAGGTCTTTGTCCAACACCACCCAGCCCTAAGGTTGTTGATACATCCCTAATTGACAGACTAACCCCCAACACCCCATTTTACTGATTTTAGCTTCCTTTTTCATTATTTACTCATTTATTTACTGAGCCCGCGTTATATACATCATGTACATGGGCTGAGCAGAAAGTCTCTGCTTCTATGGATTTTCAGTCTAAGGAGGGAGGGAGGTTGACATTGGTCAAATAATCTCATGTAAAACAGTAAGGTTATAACTGTGATTAGTCCTATAAGGGAGAGGTACCCACTGCCAAAATGTTATCAATAAAGAGGTTCTCTGAGGAAGTGATGACTGCCCCCAGATTGGGTAGAGGAAGAGTTCACTAGGGGAAGGAGAAGAGGGTTTTAAGCAGAAGAACAGCATGTGCAACGGCCCTAGGGTAGAAAGGTGCTTGGAACAGATGAAGAACTAGAAATCGCCTGTGTGGCTAGAGTGGAGGGGCAAATGGAAGGAAGTGGAGTTCAGACTATACCGGGCCTTGTAAGCTATACTAAAGACTTTGGTCTTTAACCTGAGAGCAGTGGGAAGCCACTTAAAGTTTTAAAGCAACTTTAAAACTTAAAGGTTACCTAGGATAACCTAGGTAAAGATTAAAACCCAGGTAAAGATTAGATTTGGGTTTCAAAAGCTCTCATAAGTGACAGTGTAGGAATATATTCGAAGGAAGGTATAGCTAGACCAGCGTGGAGCTATTACAGCTATCCAGGTGAGAAAGAATGGCAGCTTGGAACAGGGTGCTGGTGGTGAAGACAGACAGATTTAGGACACATTTAGAAGGTCAGCATTTCAGGATTTGGTGATGACTGCCTATGGGGGTAAGGGAGGACAAGTTTTTAAAAACACCTCCTCAGGGGTGCCTGGGTGGCTCAGTGGGTTAAGCATCTGCCTTCAGCTTGGGTCATGATCTCAGGGCCCTGGGATCGAGCCCCGCGTCGGGCTCTCTGCTCAGCAGGAAGCCTGCTTTCCTCCTCTCTCTCTGCCTGCCTCTCTGCCTACTTGTGATCTCTTTCTCTGTGTCAAATAAATAAAATATTAAAAAAAAAAAAAACAAAAAAAAAAAACACCTCCTCCGTGTGTTTTTTGGACTTGTGCAACTGGATGGTGTCATTCACTTAGAGAACATCAGCAGAGGAATACGTTGTGGTTTTGTTTTGTTTTAGGAGGGAGGGGAGAGGCTCATGAATTCCCTTTTGGACTCACTGCGTTGGAATATATAAACTCCATGAAGACACGGGCCATGTCTTTCTTGTTCACTGTGTCTGCACAATTCTTAATCCACTGAGCCACCCAGGCGCCCCTGTCTGCACAATTCTTGCTCACAGTGGGCATGCCAAATATTTGTGAAAGTACATATGTGCATACAATTGGAGCGAGAACGTTGGATTTTTCTATGTGGCATGGTTAATTTTATGTGTCAACTTGGTTGGGCTATGGTGCCCAGCTGTTTGGTCAAATGCTAGTCTAGATACTGCTGTGAAGGTATTTTGTAGATGTGATTGACATCTATAACCAGCTCACTTTAAGTAAAGATTAGCTTGGATAACGTGGGCACAGAAGTCCTGCTTGAGTTTCCAGCCTACTGGTCTGCCTGACATATTTTGGACTTGTTAGCCCTCACAATTTTGTGAGCCAATTCCTTAAAATAGGTTTCTCTCTCTCTCTCTCTCTCTCTCTACATAAATACATGTATACTATCGGTTCTGTTTCTCTGGAGAACCCTGACTGATATAGTGTGAAATAAAGCAGAAAACAAAGCAATATGCGATCAGAAGTCAGTTTTTCAATCTTTGCTCTGCAATGTGACCTTGGGCATTTCAATGAACTTCTGAGGCCTAATTATTCTTGTCAGAGACAATAATAACATATAAATGATGTCATGGGTAGGAAGGAGGATTTTAATCTGCAAAATATTATGATGTTCTTGGTTTAAGGCTGCCTTCTGGAAGGTTAGAGATGTTGCAAGTCTAACCTCCAGACAAAACTGGTTTCAGTATCACCAAGAAAAAGAAATACTCCCTGAATCATTATGATGACCTATATGTAGTCTTTATATTCATTTTTCACTTAACCTTGGACATGTACTCATAACAGCAATAAAATGCATTCAGTAGTATTTTATCTTTTACCTCGGACAATAGATTCAATCTCTTTCATGGCAGCTTCACTTTGAGCTTCTGCAAGTTTTTCATTGATTTCCATTATTTCCATGAGGAACTGCCTGTCCATTTCATAATCTGTCCCTTCAGGAATCTCTACTCCATGGAGCTTTAGCTATTGGGACATAAAGCAGAGAAAAGTAAGGTTGGTTGAAGAGACTGTGGCTAGAGTCATAAATCCTACTTACAGAATATAACAGAATACGATTCATTAAAAAACAAAACTTGAACTGTCTCAATAGTGAGAATGTGCAGGTAGGGTATGGGAAAGTTACCCTGAGACAGGACTGCTGGGACAGGATTCCTTTCTGCTACTTGGAACTGTGTGACCCCAGGGGAGTTGTTCCTCCACTTGGGAGACTGAATTAGGTATCTGTAAAGGCTCTATTAAATCCTAAAATTCTAAGGTGCTAAACTCTTCCCCCCCACACAAAAAATGCCAAAATTACTCTTCCCTGAATGCTATCACCATCCAATCCTTGAAATTTACAGAAAATGGTACCAAAAAAATGCACTTAGGCAAGTAAGATATACAGATACTCAGAGAAAACTATTCTCATTCGGTATCACTGAGGCTAATTATCTTTGGGTCCCTAGACTAGCTCAGGTCGCAAGCACTCTTCCGCTGAATACAGGGGAGCAGTTGTCCCTCAACCCAATGGATACCATGTAGTCACGCATAGAAGGATTGGGAAATCACCTTACAAGGTATAGTCCCCTGCTCAAGGGAGCCAGAAGGGTCTTATAGGCATCATTCACCAGGGTTGAATGCTTCTCTGAGAAGTCCTTTTCAGTCTGTTAGTGGAGATGAAGATAATCTCATTACCATCCAAATTAGCCACATTACATTCCCAAACTCTTTCATAAAATATGGATGGGCAGACAACTAAGGAAATCTCCTAGGTAGAACTGGTATAGGATGAGCTGTCTTTATTCTCAACCAGTGGGTTCTAATTCTTCTGGGAAGTCAGGTAAAAGCTTTGAGTGCAGGGCAGGTTCAGGGCCTGACTACTAGCTGGGGTCAGGCTGTCCCAGGATGGAGCTGGTTGTTTAGCTCTCTCTCTCATAATCACATCACCACAAGGCCACTGCCACCCACCCTGTGTACACTAGTGTTTGGGTATGATTAGGGGTGGACAACAGGCTACCTGAGACCTCTGGCTGAAGAAATCAGGGTGGACAAGACGCTGTAGTTCCTGGTACCTAGTCTGGAGCTTTGCTGTGTCAACTCTGAAGGCACGGTTGCTGTAAGGAAATTGGGAGATAAAATTCATGCACCAAATATTTATAGATTTGTGTACTATGGGCCTGGTTCCTGTTCTCACAGGGGTAAGTGCAATAAACATGGAGAGAGAGAGAACTTCAAAAAGTGCTGTGAAGGAAAAGAAAATAGGGTCAGAGAAAATGGTAAATGTGGTGGACAAAGAAATGACGTTTGAGCTGAGACTTGAATGATGATGAAAAATAACCAAAGATCAGAGAAAAAAAGTCATCAAGAGGCAGAGTGAACATGCAAAGTCCCTGAGGTGTGGACACGATTGGCACACTTGCAGAACTTAAAGGATAGTGTCAGGGCAGCACATCATAAACGCGGAATGACTGGTAGGCACCAATCTCAGAGTTAAGGGGAAGGACCATTCTTGAATCCCACCCTGTATTTTGAAGACCCAAGTCCTTTCATCTTCGCCTCTCACTTTATTTTAACCCAGTTCCTTTCGCTTTCCATTCCCAGAGCCTTCCCTGTCTTAGCAGTTTAGCTCTGCTGAAATTTCATCACCTCTCCAAGCTCCTTGAGGTTCAGAGGAAAACAGGAAAAACAGCCACTTCTGACCCTCTCCCTCCAGTTCTCATTTCTCCCTTAGACTCAGCCCACAGTATTAAGTTTTCCGGTGCTTTTACACCCCACTCTGTTTTTCTTACTAGATTTATTTTATTATAAAAGGATGTAACTCAGGAACAACCGCATGGAAAACATGCATGGGTGAAAGGGCGGGGAAGCTTCCAAGCCTTCTCCAGGCACACTACTCTTCCATCTCCACGTGTTCACAAACCTGCAAGCTCCTTAAATCCCTTATTTTGGATAGCACCTCAGTACGCCTTTCTTAAAAGTCTCAACCCAACTTTAACCATTCTGATCCTATCCATCCATCAACTCTAAGCAGCCCCTCTAGCACACTTCCCTCAGGCCCCGCCCCTCAACTTCTCCTCTCAGGGCCCAGCCCTCAGGTTTCCCTCCACTGAAGCCTCCCTCCTCCAATTTCCCCCAAGTTCCTTCTCCGCCCCTCCACTCCTCCTTCCCTTCTCGTCTCCATTCCTCAGAAGCCCTATCCTCAGGCTCACCCCTCAATTTCCTCACTCACCCGCCGCAATGGCACCCTACGTGCTCCCAGGCCCCGCCCCTACGGCTCCGCCCACCGACCTAACCGGTCCCGCCTTCTCCTTTGCAACCCCTAAATCGCCAGCCCCGCCTCTCTCTTGCCCCAGCGTGTTTCTCGAAACCGCCTCCCGTACCAGTCCAGGAGGCTGAAGTAATCTCGAGTGGGGTCAGGTGGCTGCAGGGCGCGGCACTGTGGACAGAAGAACCCATCACCACGCATGGGGCTCCCTGGGCCACCGCAGTTCCAACACTGGGGGGAACTGTTTCCCGCCAGAGACGCAGCACTGCAGCTTAGCGGTCTCCTTCCGAGGACCCCTGGCGGCCACAGGCCCCGCACCCGGAGCAAGGCGCCAGTTCTCCCGCCCCACATCTGGCCGCGGCCTATGTCGCCGCGGTCACCTGTTCGGGGGTTGGAGAGAGCGGCCGACCTGACTAGTGCTGCTGATTGGCTGAGGAACTGACGGGGCGGGATCCTGGATACCGAGTGTCCCGCTCCTCATTTTAAACTACAACTCCCAGGAAGCATTGAGGTTACGTGTGGACGGCCACATCCGCCGCTGTTCATTGGTCCGGCAGCGACGAAGGGTGTTCTGATTGGCTGAGGGTGGAGTTTGTATGTGCTTGGTTAGCGCCACGCTGCTGGCTGCAGCTGCTGTTGAGTGTTTGGCCTCAGGTGGGCTCACGCGGTGAGTCATAGTGGGGAACTTCTCTTGGGTGTTTGGGGTTCGATTCCGGTCCCCAGGGTATTAATGCACGCTGAATCTCCAGAATTTTCTCTTTGTGTGGTTTTTGAGCTTGGTCGGGGGGAGGAGAGGAATGCGTGGGTGACTGTCTTCCATTGTAGATGAACTTCGAGGTGAAGTTCACTTCCCCTGTTACTTACAAGCTGAAACTGGCCCAGACGTGCAGCGTAAGAAAGGACGAAGTTGTGTTCTTCAAAACCAGAGGGAAGTTGGTTTGTAAAGAGTTATTTAAATGTTAGTAATTATTACCATATTTTAATAAAGATTTTTTAAAAAATTTGACAGACGGAAATCACAAGTAGGCAGAGAGAGAGGAGGAAGCAGGCTCCCTGCTGAGCAGAGAGCCCGATGTGGGGCTCAATCCCAGGAACCTGGGATCATGACCTGAGCTGAAGGCAGAGGCTTTAACCCACTGAGCCACCCAGGCGCCCATATTTTAGATTCAATTTTGAAAAAAACCTATTAAGAACCCAATCTTAGCAGCTAGGCGCTGCAGGAGCTGGAGACACACTGACTTGTGTAGGAGGATGCCCAGCGAGTGTCCATAAGTAAGAGTGTGGGATGGGGTGGTGAGGAGATGGTAGGAAGGCACCAACCCATCTTGGGGCTCAGTTTCTGTATTTGAAAAAAAAAATTGTGTTGCACTTGTAAACCCCTTTCCCGCTGTCGGATTCTTTGGGACTGGAATTCTCCCAATTATCAGGCATTACTGGGGGAGGAGACTTAATGTATCATCTCATTTAATTCTCAAGATCTATCTATTCAGTGAGGTGATCTACCTGAAGGTCATGCAGGGATTTGACTCAGGCATCCGACTCCAGACTTGTTTACCTCTAATATTTCTATATACTTCCTCCTCCTCATGGCTGAGGCTTATGTGGTTTCCGTCTGTCTACTGGACCCTTACCATAACCGGGGATAGCAGCCACTTCTTGACCGTCTTTTGTCAGTTCTCTGGCTGGAGAAGTCTTGCTCAAAAAGCTGTAAGAGGTTGCAGCCTTGATTGAGGCAGTAGTATTAGAGCTTTAGGTCCTGGAGTGGCACACTCAGTTCTGGGATCACCTTTGAGGTGTGATTTAAGAAAAAGTCATCAGTATCTTTGTATCTGGAAAGCTATCTGAGTATGGGTATCTGGAGAGAAGAGAGAATGCCCCCCCCCTTTTATAAAAAAAAGAATCACACTAGGGATTTAAACTTAGGGATTGACAGTTACTTAGACTTGACTGTTATCAGAGTTTAAATAAAGTTCATCGAATTAACTCTAAAGTGAGGGTGGGAACCTGTTATAGTCCCCTGTGAAGTGCTTGTTTTTGTAGGAATCTGTTGGGCTGAAAGGCCATTTAGGATGAAAGGTGAACGCCAATCGTTACTCAGCATCACAAAAGGCTAGGTGGAGTTGTTTGTGGGAGACTTCTTTGTGTTACTGCTTCATTAATAGCCTGGCCCTCAGTGAGGAGTCAGGGAATCTAGAGTGAACAAACAGGATGTGGTCTTCACCTTCCTGGGGCTGGCTTGGGGGAGGAGGGGTATCTGTGACATTTAATGTATATGGTCACCCCTGGCCTGGTGCAGTGAATTAGTTTGTTTCTCTTTGGCCATCTTTTACCCGAAGCCACATGACCCTTCCTCTTCTTTATTGTTCCTAAACTTGAAATTTAAGTATAGTGTTGATTGTATTAATGAATACCTTTTAAGTTTCATTTCTAATTTTTATTTTTTTGAGATTTTATTTATCTATGTATTTGTTGGACAGAGAGAGAGCAAGCAGGGGGAGCAGCAGAGGGAGTGCTGAGCTGAAGGCAGGTGCTTAACTGACCGAGCCACCCAAGTGCCCCTCATTTCTAATTCTTATTTTTATTTTACTTATGTATTTATTTGACAGAGAGAAGGAGGGCACAAGGAGGGGTAGAAGCAGGCAGAGAGAGAGGGAGAAGCAGACTTGCCACTGAATAGGGAGCCTGACCTGGGGCTCAATCCGAGGACCCCAGGATCATGACCCAAGTTGAAGGCAGCCACTTAACTGACCAAGCCACTCAAGTACCCCACATTTCTAATTTTTAAAAATTAGATGAATGTAAGCTGTTATAAAGTCTTCCTTCCCACCCCCAACTTAGTTCATTTCTTTTAACTTATTTATAACCTTCATATTATTTTTTATTTTTTTTTCCCTGTGGCTGTCATATAAAAAACTGATCTAGTTTGAAATGATAGGATGAAAAAAAAAAAGCTCAGCCCAGAAGAGCTATAGATCAATCTAGTCTTAGAATTTTAACTTTTGCAGAACATGCTTGCTCTGGATTTTTTTTTTTTCTCCTGATGTTAATTAAATATGTCCATCCTTTACTTTTTTATTTTTATTTTTTAAAAGATAGAGAGAGATTGCCCTTGTATGGGTGTGGGGAGAGTAGAAGGGCAGGAGAGGGAGAGAGAGAATCCCAAGCAGGCTCCACACCCAGTGCAGATCCTGGACGTTGCAGGGCTGGATCTCATGACCCTGAGATTATGACCCGAACTGAAATCAAGTGTCCGAGGCTTAACTAACAAGAGCCACCCAGGTGCCCCTGCCTGTTCTTCCCTCTTGAACTTGTAGTCTTGTTTCTTGAAACTTACCTTATTATCGGACACTTACTTTTGAGGTCGTGATGTCTCGAGAGACGGAGGGGGAGTGTCAGCAGTCCCACGGCAGTGGCGCCTGTTCCCAGTCCCAAGGTGGCTTCTCTCAGTCTCAAGGCATCTCCTCCCAGACACACGGCAGCTCTTCACAGTCTCAAGGCACGTCCAGTTCCAGCAGCACGGCACCCACATCTAGCCAGTCCTCTCACTCCAGCTCAGGAACGCTGAGCTCTTTAGACACAGTGTCTACCCAAGAACTCTGTTCTATTCCTGAGGACCAAGAACCTGAGGAGCCTGTCCCTGCCCCTTGGGCTCGATTATGGGCCCTTCAGGATGGATTCCCCAATCTTGGTAAGACCTTTTTTTACATCATGTAAAATGTTAATTGTTCACAAAAATAGTTCGAGAAAGCTGTAGCAGAGAGCTCAAGGCACTTCTGGAATGATTCCAAAGTTTGAAGGTGATGAAGATGGAACCAAGGAAGCAGTTTTGGGGGGAATTTACTGACTCTTACCTGCTGTGGATCCCCCCTCATTTATCTTTCAACAAATATTAATTGGGCATCTGTAATGTTCTGTCCATTGGAGCATCTGAAGAGAGCAGCAGGCCATTTTCCCTAGCAAAATGCTGATTCATGCAAACTTGCAAACAGTAATGGACAAATCCACAGAAACCACCACTTAACCCCTGCTGTGGCAGCTTCAGAACATCCATTTTACAGTTTCAGATTAGGGAAGGCTGTTTGTTGACTGTTATTTATTAACTCAAAATAGCCAGCCTTTTAAGTATGTTCATCCTCTATGACATTTTCTGATTCCAGCAGTAAGATTTCACTCTAGGTATGTTTGAAATAGCATTTTGATATTAAAAAAGAATGACTAATATGTTATTTGTACCTTATAACTCACTGTTTCGTCTCCAACATTGATGACTTGAAAAAGAAACTGTAAAAAGTAGAGAATAATAGGGAATGTTCATAGGTACGACTTTAAATTTAGAAGTAAGTACTTGAAGCTGTTTTCTTTTACTCATGTAAGCCATAGTTTTAAGATAGGCTCATGGCTTATATGGTGAATGGGAAACATATGGTGAGAAAGGGTGAAGTGGGCTGAATCACTATGAAAAGTGAGATTATAAAAATCTGAAAATCCTGGTAGGGGGACTAGCATAAAGCCTGTTTTCTTCTAAATGTTTTATAGGTTTACCCTGTTGATCCATTTTGAGTTGCTTTTTGTATATGGTATGAGGTGGAGTCCAGATTCATTCTTTTCATGTGAATATCTCAGTTGTGTGAGAACTTTCTTGAAAAGACTCTTTTTTTTTTTTTTTTTTTCTTTTAAAGGTTTTATTTATTTGAGAAAGAGAGCATGAGAGACAGCATGAGGGAGAGGCAGGAGCAGACTCCCTGCTGAGCAGGGACCCTGATACAGGGCTCAGTCCCAGGACCCCTGGGACCATGACCTGTGTCGAAGGCAGACACTTAACCTACTGAGCCACCCAGGTGCCCCTTGAAGAGACTATTCTTTATCTGGTGAATGGTCTTGGCACCCTTGTCAAAAATCATTTGGCCATAAATGTGAGGGTTTATTTCTGGACTTGCAGTTCCATTCTCTTGGTCTATGTGTCTGTCCTTTTATGCAAGCACCACAAAATCTTGATTGCTGTAGCTTTGTAGTGAGTTTTGAAATCTAGAGTGTGAGTCCTGATTTGTTCTTTTTCAAGATTGTTTTGACTATTCTGGGTCCCTTGTCCATATGAGTTTTAAGATGAGCTTGTCACTTCCTGCAAAGAAGGCAGCTTGGATTGTATTAGGGTTTACATTGAATCTATAGATCAGTTTGGGGAGTACTGACATTTTTTTTTTTTTAAGATTTTATTTGTTTATTATTCTAGAGAGAGTGAGCAAGGGTGGGGGTGGGGAGGAGTAGAGGCAGAAGGACAAGCAGACTCTGCCCTGATTACAGAGCTGGATGTGGGGCTGGACCCCATGACCCTGAGATCATGACCTGAGCCGAAACCAAGAGTACGATGCTCGACTGAGACACCCAGACACCCCTGAGTATTGACATCTTAATAATACCAAGTCTTGGGGCAGAGGGAAAAGCAGACTCCCCGCTGGCAAGGAGCCCACCTCGGGGCTCAATCCCAGGA